TTTTTTTTTTTTTTTTTACCATCTCATCCTATTTTTATAATGTAAAGGTTGAGATGGTTTCAGATGTAATGAATTTCCTTTTTAATATAATGCTTATTGCGCTGCTTTTATATTTTGTCGCCTTCTCGTAGCTGTAGATTTTCGTTTAATCGTTTGGTTCTTTTATTTCGTCTTACTGTCTTCTCCCAACCCTTCTTGCGAGCTGGTCGAAGTCGAGCAGTAGTTTCGACAGCTTCATAGCTGTTGAACAATTGTTTTTTCGAGTCGTCTTCTCCCAACCCTCTTGCGAGCTGGTCGAAGTCGAGCAACGGTTTCGACAGCTTCATAGCTGTTGAACCAATTTTTTTCGAGTCATCTTCTTTCAACCCTTCTTGTGAGATGGTCGAAGTCGAGCAACGGTTTCGACAGCTTCATAGCTGTTGAACTAAAATTTTTTTCGAGTCGTCTTCTCCCAACCCTTCTTGCGAGCTGGTCGAAGTCGAGCAACAGTTTCGACAGCTTCATAGCTGTTGAACCAATTTTTTTCAAGTCGTCTTCTCCCAACCCTTCTTGCGAGCTGGTCGAAGTCGAGCAACGGTTTCGACAGCTTCATAGCTGTTGAACCAATTTTTTTCGAGTCGTCTTCTCCCAACCCTTCTTGCGAGCTGGTCGAAGTCGAGCAACGGTTTCGACAGATTCATAGCTGTTGAACCAATTTTTTTCAAGTCGTCTTCTCCCAACCCTTCTTGCGCTGGTCGAAGTCGAGCAACGGTTTCGACAGCTTCATAGCTGTTGAACCAATTTTTTTCGAGTCGTCTTCTCCCAACCCTTCTTGCGAGCTGGTCGAAGTCGAGCAACAGTTTTGACAGCTTCATAGCTGTTGAACCAATTTTTTTCGAGTCGTCTTCTCCCAACCCTTCTTGCGAGCTGGTCGAAGTTGAGCAACGGTTTCGACAGCTTCATAGCTGTTGAACCAATTTTTTTCTAGTCGTCTTCTCCCAACCCTTCTTGCGAGCTGGTCGAAGTCGACCTTGTGGCCGTGTGTGATCACTCTTTTTTTTTGTTTTGATGGGTTGAGCCGGCTATATGGCCGTTCTGAAAAATTCGATATATTCTGGTAATCGTGCTGTAGTCGATGTGAAGAGGGGTCGATCGTCGCTTCTTCCAGTCTTTGGGATATCTGATTTTCTCTGGCTACTTATCATGCCTTGCTATTTGGGTCAAATTCTCTCCATTAATTACCATCTTTTCAAGGTAAGTCTGACACTGACGCTTTTTTTTCTTTTGAAATTTCAAATTTCAAATCCTATGAGTGACGCGCGTCCCGTCAACCGCTGACTCCTCGTATTCTGTGCCTCATCAGGATCGTTGGTTTTTTTATCAATCTAATGGCTAACATCTATCTTTATCTCCTATAAATATGATTGAACTTCTTCTTTAAACACTTTTCACCTTCTTCTGAAATTTCTCTGCAACCCCGGCGACCTAGCAACTCGATCTTTTCCGACGGCTTTTCCTGTTACCCCGGTGCTTTAATCAACCTTTCAGGCCACTATGAGCAACATGGGTAAGTACTTACTTTCTTTACCATTCTATTTTTTATTCTTTTACTTTTCTGGGTTTTTGGGTTTTCTGTACCTTTGTATGCTCTTCATGTTCTTCGGATTTTCTCTGGAAAATTTTGTGTTGAATCTTGTGTGTGCATTCTCCGTTCTAATCAACTGTTAACGTGTGGCTGTGTAACCACCTGTCGGCCTTTATCATGTTGATTCTTATCAACACTCGTTTTCTTCCTTTTTGTACTTCCCTCGAGTTGGCTTCATGTCGACTTGCCGTCATGTTTCCATCGAATCACACCATATTACTTTCTACTTCTTTCGTATTTTCGTCGACTTAGGTGAGTCGACTGTGCTTCGCTTGATTTTGTTTCGTCATGCCTGATCTTTGCTTTTGTTTCTTTTTCTTCTAGCTTCCAATTCCGGCTCTNNNNACACACTCGACAAATTGATCGATAGGGGCCTTGACCAATCTGACTCAAGCTCAGTCGAGATAGTCGGTTATAAGATGGTTAACGCTTCTCCTTCATCGCGCACTTTGACCCCGAAGGTCGACTGGGCTGAGTATGATCAGGCGCTATTAGATGGTGGTCTAGTAAAGGTCTCAAGGAGTCCCCGGGGAAACTCTCCTCGTCTCGACTTGATTCCTCAAGATATTCCCCTTAGGTCATTAGAAATTCCTATATATAGTACCAGTCCTTTACCTATATCAATAATTACTCCTCTTGTCGACCCTCGCAAGATTGTATCCATAGCCTGCCCTCTAGCCAAATTGGCCACTTTAAACTCTTTTTTCTTACGCTTCTATGGCTCAAGTCGAGAGCTTTAGGCAATTCAGCGGGCTTCCCTCTGATTGGGAGTTGGTTGCTCCGGGCCCTAACAGCGACTTCACTTGCCCCCCGCAGGGTTGTCATACTTTTTTTGCCGACCAAGTCATTTTTGGCCTCCGCTTTCCTATCCAAGTCGAGCTTTTAGAGATAAGTGATCTGTACAGCATCCTGATAAATCAGTTTTCTCCAAATGCTCTGTGTATCATGATAGCCCTTTATCGTTGTTTCTCGTATAGTTCTTCGTTTTTTCTCGGCCGAATTTTTTCATTACTGTTATAGTTATCGACTTCAAAAGGGGGCTCATTGTTTGATCCGCCGTTCCGACGTTACCTTTCATGACGACCTTTCCTCAAATATCCCGGAGTGGAAGTCGAAATTTGTCTTTATCCGCCCTCCAAATCGGTGCTTATCCTTACGCCAATAATTGGATAAGCACGAAAGTTAAACAAAATAAACGGTCTCGATCCGAGAACTTCGAGAGGCTCTTAGAGGAGTTGAATAAGAATACTTATAGTGCTCGTCGTGTAATAAAAGATCGTGAGCTGGTCAATCATGCGCGAATCATTTTGTATGATGATATTTCTCGACTCGATGATCCTCGTAAGCTGTCTGATATTTCTCATAATGTTGGGTTTGATTTCTATTTCAGCCTTGTTTGATTATTTGTTTCCATTTCAGTCAAAGAACTCAAGCGTTTCGAGGTAAAGAAGAAGCAGCCAACCGGTCAGCTGGCAGACGGGTCTGCTCCTCCCCCACCGGGCGGATCCGGATCGAAGCCGATTTCTGCCGCAAAGAGATCTAAAACCTCGGGGCCCAATAATCGTAAGAGGCCTCAAGACGAAAGGACCCCTTCTCTCTTTCCAGACGACCTTAAGCGCCGTAAGGTCGACAAGGGCAAGGAGAAGGTTGTTGAAAAAAGCTCTGCTTCCGCCATCACTTACAAGGATGTGCTGGTCAAGATGCTGTCTCGGCTCTGGAATCACCCAGAGCCGCATAAGGTGGCGAGATACCTCCATTCTCTACTCCCCGAAGCCGATAAGGCCCGTGTTTAGGGGAATGATTATGAGCATTCTTGCTACGCCACTAAATGCCTTACTCGGGTATGTGTTTTGTACTTGAGTTTAGCGTTTATGTTTGTGTACTCTTATATTATGTTCTTATTTTTTTTTTTTTTTTTTGTGTAGTTCTTAGCAGCCATTCTTCCCGGCCTCGAAGCGGTACCAAGGCCCCTACCTCTTCTACTAAGGCCCTCGAGGACAGATGCGAGGCGCAGCTTAGAGAAATCGCCAAGCTGAAGGCAGACTTGGAGGGGTCTAAGGCTTTGGTTGATAAGCTAAGGGCTGACAAGGCTGTGGCCCAACACGACAACGAGAAGCTCCAGGCCGACCTCGACAAGGCTCGAGAGGAGGTGGTGTTCGAGAGAGATATCGGCACCGTGCAGGGCCGCAAATCGTTTCTCAAGTCACCAATGGGTGCTCTCTTCCTTGAGACTTATCGCAAGGAGGTTGTCAAGGCCTTTTGCAATTCGCTCGAGTTTCTCGACAGACTTTGCCCCATCGCCGTTCAATATTTCGATCATACTTTCGATGCGTGGGAGGCGGTGGTGGCGGGATCTGAGTTTGTGGGAAGGCTCGACCGCGAAGCGATGAGGTTGGCGCTTCCAGACCCTGAAGTTTATGAGGGTGACCCCTCCCTCCCGGACGACTACCAGTGGTGGACTTGTCTGGAGGCTAAGGCTATTCAAGCCGCCAAGCTTTCTTCTCGGCTCGAGGCTCCCTCCACTTCTCCGATCCAGCCGGGCGGGCCTAGTCGTGAGGGAGGTCGGGTAGTCGCTACTATCGAGGGGATCGACGAAGATGCCGATTTTTAGAATTGTATCTTTGGGCTTGTCGCCTTTTGTTTTCTGAAATTTTCTTGCCTGTTTGTTTTGTTCTGTTTTCCCTTCGACCTAATTTTCTGATTGTAAAGGTCGAGGCGATGCTCTCTTGTAATGAACTTATCTTGAATATTATCTATTATTTTCCTTCTTCGCTTGCATGGTATAGATTTGTAACTTTGTAGTTATTTAAATCGTCTTTATAGTCGCAGATTTGTCGAGACTCCATTCGAGTCACAACTTCATAGTTCAAACTGTATCTTAGTCATATTTTTATCGTTATCCCATTCGTTTCAACTTTGTGGTTGCTTAAGTCGACTTTGTAGTTGTAGGCTCGTAGTCTTGTCGAGATTTCACTCGAGGCATACAACTTTGTAGTTGTTTGGTTCGACTTTGTAGTCGTGGACTTCGTAACCTTGCCGAGATTTCACTCGAGGCATACAACTTTGTAGTTGTTTGGTTCGACTTTGTAGTCGTAGGCTTCGTAGCCTTGCCGAGATTTTACTCGAGGCATACAACTTTGTAGTTGCTTAAATCGACCTGGTAGTCGTGGGTTTCGTAGCCTTGCCAAGATTTCACTCGAGGCATACAACTTTGTAGTTGTTTGGATCGACTTTGTAGTCGTAGGCTTCGTAGCCTTGCCGAGATTTCACTA